CGGCAGAAATTTATATAAACAAGGATCATTATATTCATAACGGATACGGAGGTTTTTGTATATTATTTGAATTGTTTGCGATGATGGATGTCTCGCCATTTAAATCGTTAAACTTTGCATTAGTTTTTTGTGAATAATTCATGTATTTGTAAATTGATTGCACGTTTATCGTAATATATATATATATATATATATATATATATATATATATATATATATATATATATATATATAAAATAAGATATAGTCAGGCTGTCACTTTCTTGTTGCTGGTCATCCCAACAAATTTAATTACCCACCGATTTGTCTTCATTCTAGCTATAAGACGCCGAACACAGAAGGTTTTCTTTCGGCGAAACGCGTCGTCTATAGGTTCACGCACACATCAAGTAAGACACGTGCTTTCCGTCTTCTATATGAATAAATGCTAATGTCAGTGTGTCACACTTTTTCAACTTTACACTAGAGACCGTCAACCAGCATATCGTACCATTTTGGAATCAGACCGACTTCGTGAGCAAATTAAAATCATTCCTGGCTGGATCCGGACCAGCAATCCTGAAATTTGCGATTCCCAACTTTTCATTATTACTTCCGGCGAGTTTTTTTTTTTTTTTTACATGATTTTTTACGACGAATTTTTTTGTACGATAATAAATTTTTATAAAATACAAAAATAAATGGAAATAACTGAAATTAATTGCGAAATCTGGCGGCAGAAGCATTATAGTCAAACTTCTAAAAGATAGGCTTAAATGTCAATGCAATAATATTGCATTAATATTTAAGCCTGTCTTAATATTATATTATTTAATCTTATCTTAATATTACATTATTCATATTTGTTGCCATATTTATCACAACGTTTCGGCCGTTATACACGCTGGCCTTCTTCAGGTGATTGGAATGTCGAACTGAACCGTTTGTTTTGCTCGCTGAGGTAGACTGTTCTACTTCCACGCAGCATGTCTAATGGTTGTCAGTTATTAGTTATCTCCTACTAATTCACCTCTCCTATTCCTTAACCAGGTATTGAACTCACAACTCTTTGGATCCTCTCACTGAATCTAACCAACGCCTTGACATGTCTCCTTAAGGTTATCTGCGTATGAATTTCTGGGACTTATAAACTTAAAGATGAGGATAATAGTCCGAATCATGTAAATAGTGTACATAATAACTCATCTCAGAAATATAGACAGATATTAATGCAATACTTAAATGCAGCGATCAATTTTGAGTTCTTCTGTCGTATACGGCAGCAGTATTTATTGCCAAAAGAAATCTCTGCCAACGGAAGACCAGATTGCAATCAAAAGAGACAGAGCTGCAGTGAAGAAAAGAAAATCCCGTGCAAATGAAAACCCAGATCAAACGGTAGCCAGAACTTCCAATGCTAAGAATATGGGACTCTCAAACTCCTGGACGAGACGAAGGCTTAATCAAGAGCTCTCCGTTGGAACTAGGTTTTAACCTAATTAAATAATAAAACTTCATAATCTTGATGTCATCTGAATACACCGTGTCGATCGGACATACAACACTTTGAAACCTTTGCACTAGATATAGCCGCATGTGTGTATGTTTGTGTGTGTGTGTGCGCGCGAGTGTGTGTACGCGCATGCGCGTATGTATGTCTGTCTATAGGCGTTCAGCTGGGTTGAAGCCAGTTTATTTGACTCAACGCAGTTGCTGGCTTTTTTTCTCTCTTATTTTATCTTTATGACTTCTTATATATACAATATTTTCATTTGTTTTACTTACAATTTTTGTTGTTGTTGTTGTTGTCATCCCTGACTCACATGAAGGACAAACTGTGACCTTTACATTTGTCATGCTGCATAACTCTCTCAAAAATTGGGACAAGTGCTTTATCACCCACTGGACACTTGAAGAGAAAATGCAATTCACTGCAATATATTATCTGTCCTGGAACATGTTCAAATAGCCCACGGTCGGTGTTGTACATGCTTATGTGTCGAGCAACACACGCACGCACCCACGGGCACGCGCGCGTACACACACACACACACGTACACACACACAGGTAAAGAAGCGATAAAAAATGAACGTGAACTTTCATTTCACCAATTATGCCACTTTACGCATGCGCGTGCTGAGTGTTTCGGAGCAGGTGGAAGTGACGGTGTTTGCCACATTTTATGCAGAGCCGAAGCAAGAATCCAAGGTTCCTCGCATCTATGATACGGGTCCCCACTACGTGTTAATTTTCATAAGGTAGTAATATAAATCTTATTGTAACCTCATTATGTAGAATAATGAATCATCATACTTATTATAAAACCCAGGTTGTGTGTGTGTGTGTGTCTGTACGTTTATATATTGGATCGGATTTCCTACATTTTTCAACCGATTTCAACAAAACTTCACAGGACTACGTAAAATTACCTTGCGGTGGTTCTGATAGCGCCAAAAATTGGAAAAACACAATTGTTTTTGCACGAAATCAATTTAAAAACACGATTAAGAGGTATCACGAGAATGAAAGGGGGACAACTCATAATGGGTTATACTTATTATAAAACCCAGGTTGTTTGTTTGTTTGTTTGTGTGTGTGTGTGTGTGTGTTCGTTTATATATGGGATCGGATTTCCTACATTTTTCAACCGATTTTAACAAAACTTCACTTTTTTTTTGGCAAGTAGTGTTTCTTATTGTCTTGCACACTTTTTTCTTTATTTTTACATTCAGAATGCTTTAAAAATTTCATTTACAAGACAACTGTTTATAATAAAATTCTATTCAATCGGTAGACTCATAACGATTGTTTGAGTTTGGGTTTGACCAATTCGTAAAAAAAAAATTAAAAAAAAACTAATTAAGACATGCGTGTCCGTCAACCTTAAACAATAATCTTTGTCAATTTTATTTTTCAGTCTTTATAATGGTCGATACTTGATCTATCTCTTACTGTTACATCCCCGGGCAACGCCGGTCTCTACTGCTAGTATGCAATACAAGTGAAAAATTCGACTAGAAAAAAAAAAATAAAAACACAACGTCTAAATATTAAGACGGAATATATCATAATAGATCTTTGCCTCTTATATAAATCAGATATATAGAATTTGCGGATATTATTTTTCTTGTTAAAAAGTGGAATAACTTTAACACTTTCAAGATAATGGATAAAAAATAGTGAATATTATTTTGTTTTTTCGAGATTCGCAAGAGGGATTTGAAAACATATCGACCTCAGAATGACGTCAAAATCTGTGAAAAAAAAACAGAATGTTGTTAAAACCACATATATTTTTTTCATCCTTTAATAGTCCACTTGTGTTTATTTTAATCTGTAACGTTTAAAATTTCGTGAGAAAAAAGAAACTGTCGATAAGATAGCGTGGGTCACAACGCAATGCCCAAGGTCGGTACTCAGGCTTGGGCCTTCCCGATCGGGTCGGAGGATCAGTGGTAGTACGCGTCGGCACTGCGTATATGCAGCTATATCTAATGCAAATATTTCAAAAGGTTATGTGTCCCACCACGTCGCTGTATTCAGAGATTAATCTATGACAGCAAAATTATGGAGTTTTATTATTTAAAGATGAAGAGCATGTGTCTTACATCATGTTCAGCAATGTGATCTTTGCTTGAGATAATTATTTCGCGTATTCGGATTTAAAAATCAAATGAAAAAGTTTAAAAATTAAAAAAAAGGTTGAAATAAGAAAGAAAGAATTAAAGAAACAAACAAACAAACAAACAAAGAAAAAGAAACAAAGAAAGAGGAGTAAGACACGTGCAAGGAAAAGGATGGAAAGTGAACGAAAATGAATGAAAATGAAATAAATTAGGAATGAGAGAAAGCAAAGAAAGAAAAAGAATAACAATTAAAAAGAAAAAATGATTAATATGTAATCGTACAATACGCTCCGCGGTCGTCCAATACTTCCAACATCACGGCTGGTCGCTGAAGTGACCGCTTCAATCCAGAGCTAACCTTATCCCACGTTGTGATTTAAGTTTGATCATAAGGCAGCCAAGATCGAATTGTCGCAGGTATCTTCATGTAAGGCTGGTCCAAGCACTGCGATGACGTACAGGGAAAAAATAACTCGAATAAATTGAACGAAAGTAAATACTGTTTTTATATCAGTCCTCCGTACAATAATCTCATGCAATTAATTATCAACCCAAATTGCGCCTGAATCGGAAGTAATATCATTTTTGCTGATTTCGTAATCTTTGGTTTGCTGTTGTGGTAAAGTTTTGCATCAGGGTAAAGTCGAAGGTTTTCATTGGCAAATAATCCCGTGGGGTTACTTTCTTGTCTCTGGTCTCGTCTCCGTCTCTTTTACCTTCTTTCTTCTGCGACTCGTTTCTCTTTTGGCGAAATCGCTTTGCGCATTCGTATTCATTGACAATTTAGGGGAATTCTCTTTTCCCAATATCTCAAATTATTACCTCTCAGAGTGAGCGTGGCTGGCTTATCCACGCCCACACCGTCTCAAATCACTTTCGATCAGGAGAATCAACTCCAAATTCGCTGTTTACTCAAATTAAGTTTTCGCTTTACAGCTTGCATTTGCAGATGTGTGTCAATGAACATTGCTCCTTAAGTCTGGGTCACTCTTCCATTGTTCAAACTGCTCAACATACAATTCAAGTCGTTTATGTGTGAATTAAATCCTCAATTCTTTCCACGGGTTTTTGGTATTAACTCTTCTCGGTTCAATGTCTCTCAGCAGAAAATAATTTCTCATGTTTTAACAAAACTTTCTTCCGTTTTACCGCGGTAACGACAAATAAATGAACCATGTAGAGATAAAGAAGCAGAAGGTTTGTATGCAAAAGATGAGAAAAGGAGCGGGTGAGAAAAGGGAACAAAGATGATATTTAAATGGAGGGGGAAGAAAATTGACCGGGATTGAAACAAAATGCAAACAAGACGAAAAGGGATAAAAAGGAAGGATAGAAGGAGAAGGAGGAAATGAAAAATCCGGGAAAGAAAATGAGAAAAAGGAAAAAAAAGAATTATGGATTATCTATTTATCTATTTATTTCCCTCTGTTTTTATCTATCTATCTATCTATCTATCTATCTATCTATCTATCTATTTCAGTCTCTATCAATCAATCAATTTTAATCTGTTTCTGTCTATCTACAGTCTATTCATATCTGTCTATCTGTCTATCGATCTATCTATTTTAATCTGTTTATATCTGTCTATTTCACTCTGTTTATACATATCTATTAATCAATCAATTTTAATCTGTTTCCGTCTATCTAGTCTATTCATATCTATCTATCTATCTGTCTATCTATCTATTTAAATCTGTTTATATCTGTCTGTCTATTTCACTGTGTTCATATATATCTATCAATCAATCAATTTGAATCCGTTTCTGTCTATTTATTCAGTCTATTCATATATATCTGTCTGTTTATCTATTTTAATCTGTTTATATCTATCTGTCTATTTCTCTCTGTTCATATCTATCTATATATCTATCTGTTTTAATCTGCTCATATCTATCGATATAATTCTGTTTTCATTTATCTATCTCAATTTGTTAATATATATGTATCTCTCCGTTTTAATCTGATTATATCTATCAATCTATTAAGTCTGTTCATACCTATCTATCGATCTATCTATCTATCTATCGATCTATCTATTTTAATCTGCTTATATCTATTTGCGTCTGTTCATATCTCTCTTTATCTGTTTAATCTGTTCATGTCTATCTATCTAATTCTGTTTACATTTATCTCAATTTGTTAATATCTATCTATCTATCTATCTATCTATTTCAGTCTCTATCAATCAATCAATTTGTTAATATCTATCTATATCTATCTATCTATCTATCTATCTATTTCAGTCTCTATCAATCAATCAATTATAATCTGTTTCTATCTATCTAATCAGTCTATTCATATATCTATCTATCTGTCTATTCATCTATCTATCTATCTATCTATCTATCTATCTATCTATCTATTTCAGTCTCTATCAATCAATCAATTTGTTAATATCTATCTATCTATCTATCTATCTATCTATCTATCTATCTATCTATTTCAGTCTCTATCAATCAATCAATTATAATCTGTTTCTATCTATCTAATCAGTCTATTCATATCTATCTATCTGACTGTCTATCTATCTATCTATCTATCTATCTATCTATCTATTTCAGTCTCTATCAATCAATCAATTTGTTAATATCTATCTATCTATCTATCTATCTATTTCAGTCTCTATCAATCAATCAATTTGTTAATATCTATCTATCTATCTATCTATCTATTTCAGTCTCTATCAATCAATCAATTATAATCTGTTTCTATCTATCTAATCAGTCTATTCATATCTATCTATCTGACTGTCTATCTATCTATCTATCTATCTATCTATCTATCTATCTATTTCAGTCTCTATCAATCAATCAATTTGTTAATATCTATCTATCTATCTATCTATCTATCTATCTATCTATCTATCTATCTATCAATATCATTTCAGTCTCTATCTATCTATCTATCTATCTATCTAATCTCTATCAATCAATCAATTTGTTAATATCTATCTATCTATCTATCTATCTCTCTATCTATCTATTTCAGTCTCTATCAATCAATCAATTTGTTAATATCTATCTATCTATCTATCTATCTATCTATCTATCTATCTATTTCAGTCTCTATCAATCAATCAATTTGTTAATATCTATCTATCTATCTATCTATCTATCTATCTATCTATCTATCTATCTATTTCAGTCTCTATCAATCAATCAATTTGTTAATATCTATCTATCTATCTATTTCAGTCTCTATCAATCAATCAATTATAATCTGTTTCTATCTATCTAATCAGTCTATTCATATCTATCTATCTGACTGTCTATCTATCTATCTATCTATCTATCTATCTATTTCAGTCTCTCTCAATCAATCAATTTGTTAATATCTATCTATCTATCTATATATATATATATATATATATTTCAGTCTCCATCAATCAATCACTTTGTTAATATCTATCTATCTATCTATTTCAGTCTCTATCAATCAATCAATTTGTTAATATCTATCTATCTATCTATCTATCTTTCTATTTCAGTCTCTATCAATCAATCAATTTGTTAATATCTATCTATCTATCTATCTATTTATCTATTTCAATTATAATCTGTTTCTATCTATCAATCAATCAATTATAATCTGTTTCTATCTATCTAATCAGTCTATTCATATCTATCTATCTGATCTGTCTATCTATCTATCTATCTATCTATCTATCTATCTATTTCAGTCTCTATCAATCAATCAATTTGTTAATATCTATCTATCTATGAATCTATCTATTTCAGTCTCTATCAATCAATCAATTTGTTAATATCTATCTATCTATCTATCTATTTCAGTCTCTATCAATCAATCAATTATAATCTGTTTCTATCTATCTAATCAGTCTATTCATATCTATCTATCTGACTGTCTATCTATCTATCTATCTATCTATCTATCTATTTCAGTCTCTATCAATCAATCAATTTGTTAATATCTATCTATCTATCTATCTATCTATCTATTTCAGTCTCTATCAATCAATCAATTTGTTAATATCTATCTATCTATCTATCTATCTATCTATATATATATTTCAGTCTCTATCAATCAATCAATTTGTTAATATCTATCTATCTATCTATCTATCTATCTATTTCAGTCTCTATCAATCAATCAATTTGTTAATATCTATCTATCTATCTATCTATCTATCTATCTATTTCAGTCTCTATCAATCAATCAATTTGTTAATATCTATCTATCTATCTATCTATCTATCTATCTATCTATCTATCTATCTATTTCAGTCTCTATCAATCAATCAATTTGTTAATATCTATCTATCTATCTATCTATTTCAGTCTCTATCAATCAATCAATTTGTTAATATCTATCTATCTATCTATTTCAGTCTCTATCAATCAATAAATTTGTTAATATCTATCTATCTATCTACCTATCTATCTATCTATCTATCTAACTATCTATCTATCTATTTCAGTTTCTATCAATCAATCAATTTGTTACTATCTATCTATCTATCTATCTATTTCAGTCTCTATCAATCAATCAATTTGTTAATATCTATCTATCTATCTATCTATCTATCTATTTCAGTCTATCAATCAATCAATTTGTTAATATCTATCTATCTATCTATCTATCTATCTATTTCAGTCTCTATCAATCAATCAATTTGTTAATATCTATCTATCTATCTATCTATTTCAGTTTCTATCAATCAATCAATTATAATCTGTTCCTATCTATCTAATCAGTCTATTCATATCTATCTATCTGACTATCTATCTATCTATCTATCTATCTATCTATCTATCTATCTATCTATTTCAGTCTCTATCAATCAATCAATTTGTTAATATCTATCTATCTATCTATCTATCTATCTATCTATCTATCTATCTATCTATTTCAGTGTGTATCAATCAATCAATTTTTATTTATCTATCTATCTATCTATCTATCAATATTTGTTCTATCTATCTATCTATCTATCTATCTATTTCAGTCTCTATCAATCAATCAATTTGTTAATATCTATCTATCTATCTATCTATCTATTTCAGTCTCTATCAATCAATAAATTTCATCTATCTAATCTATTTATCTATCTATCTATCTATCTATCTATCTATCTATCTATCTATTTCAGTCTCTATCAATCAATCAATTTGTTAATATCTAATATCTATCTATCTATCTATCTCAATCTATCTATCTATCTATCTATCTATTATCTAGTCTCTATCAATCAATCAATTTGTTAATATCTATCTATCTATCTATCTATCTATCTATCTATCTATCTATTTCAGTCTATCAATCAATCAATTTGTTAATATCTCTCTATCTATCTATCTATCTATTTCAGTCTCTATCAATCAATCAATTATAATCTGTTTCTATCTATCTAATCAGTCTATTCATATCTATCTGACTGTCTATCTATCTATCTATCTATTTATCTATTTCAGTCTCTATCAATCAATCAATTTGTTAATATCTATCTATCTATCTATCTATCTATCTATTTCAGTCTCTATCAATCAATCAATTTGTTAATATCTATCTATCTATCTATCTATCTATCTATCTATCTATTTCAGTCTCTATCAATCAATCAATTTGTTAATATCTATCTATCTATCTATTTCAGTCTCTATCAATCAATCAATTTATTAATATCTATCTATCTATCTATCTATCTATCTATCTATCTATCTATCTCATTTTGACCAGTATCTATCTATCTATCTATCTATCTATCTATCTATCTATCTCATTTTGACCAGTATCTATCTATCTATCTATCTCTATCTATCTATCTATCTATCTATGTGTCAGTTTTAATCTTTTTACATCTCATCATCTATGTATTCCAGTCTGCTCCTATCTATCTATGCATCTCAGCAATTACCTAACTTGTTTAAGCAGGCTTTTTAGGCAGTGCTTTCTCGGCAAAACACTCATTTGCATGTAACAAAACTCCAAAAGAAATAGAACTAACATAGGGTTTAACGTACCATATATTAAAAAGGTTAAATCAATTATCAAATATTCTTCAAACTCATCGACAACTTTTTCAGAAAATCAAGTAAACTGCACAAAATATTCAACATAAACACTCTGCATCCTTACACATGGTAACATTGATAGCTTTCTACATTGATGTGCCGGCAATATTTAAAGCATAGATGAATTCTAGGTTTATAATTTCGTAAGATCGATTCTGGCATAACAAAATGAACCCTCTTTCGAAGGATCTGATCTAGCAATTCATTTAATAAAATTTTTCAACTTCACGGCAAAGGAAAATGTTAGCCCGAAAAGGGGGAATGAGTGAATCTTCTAAAGGTTAGCATCTGCCATACAGGCTTCAAATTTTCTCTTAGAAACTGGAATATATGAATTGAATCAGTATTTTGCAAAAGCTTCT